ATCCCTCACGGGTCGATCTGAGCCCTATAGGTATTACATATGTACTTACGTATGTATTCGCATGCATACATACATACATACAAATACATCTGCACACGCACACGCACACCTGACCGCTATGCATGTCATGAACATCATGCAGACAGAGGAAACCTTGGTTCCTCGAATCGGAAAAAACAGACATACCCTGGGCAAATGGCAAAACATAGGGCAAATGCGCAGACAAGCAAGCAGGCCTTTATGGTATGTACATGTGCGGCTTATCTTCCACAGCTCGGAAGCGTTTTGTGGTGCAGGCTCAATCCTCTTCCGGTGCGGTTCGACACCTACGCCTGGATCTTACCAATCCTGTCACGAGATGTGCCGAGTGCTCCTAAGTCAGGGTGGTGCCGATACCTCAAACGATTCCTGGCAGTGCTCTAGTGTCCGGCATGGCCATTATTGCAGCCCAGAGCTGTTTCTATTCTCAGAGAGCACTCTCATTAAGATCATGTAGGGCCTACTAGTGCTTGTAGGGTGTCACAGTCCCCGAATTCTCAAGTCCTTCTTGTCTTGACCATGCGTCTCCGAAACGATCCCACGCTGGCCGCCAGCTTCCGTTGGTACTGGTAGATAGCAAAAGCAGTCAACTCGCGAACAAGCCCCAAACCCTAAACCCTAAACCCTAAACCCTAAACCCCAAACCCTAAACCCTAAACCCTAAACCCTAAACCCTAAAAAGCACTGCCTCAGGTTCGCTGTTGGAGCTTCGAGGCCCAGTGTGTCTGCTGCTATCGGCACGCCTCTAGAAAGGGTAGGTTAAAGTGTGATCGGCAGAAGCCGCAGTTCGTTTGCTAGCCTCAGATGGCTGGTATTCCGGGTGTAAAGGCTCGCGATGCGGTTTTCCTGGTAGGTGTCGCCTGGCATCCTTGCAGACTCCACCAACATCCAACTGCGGAGTTGTGATGGGTGCAAGCATGTCCAGATCCCAGGTTTCGAGGAATTGGAGAGTGTGGAAGCAGCTGTGCTATGAGTGGCCAGATGTGATGGTGAATTCATGCCACAGCACGAAGTGTAGGGTGTACATACAAGAATCAAAAATACTTTCAGCATATCAGATATCAGGCGGGAGAAGCAGACTCCACCATCACATGGATGTGCTGAAGTTGGTGCGATTTGCCTGTGGCATGATACTCGTAGCGCTTTGCAAGGTTTGCTATGCTGATGGACGCCCATGCTGCGAAGGACGCTTTCCTGCGACACGAATGGTATTCACAGCTCGCCTAGCAGCGGCCTGCTCCAGAGGTTTGTTTCCAATCCCCCTTTTTGTCGGGAGAGCTTCATGATTGCACGAGAGATATCGAGAGCTAAGCCAGGACACGAGGAATGGTCCGGCAACTGGTTCTGCAGAAGGTGCCACGAGTCACCGCATGCTTCCAGTTTTGGTGCACCGGCGCGAGGTAGAGGCTAACAAAGGCCCCACTGCACAGACACCGAGTGAACGCGCATACGCGCACTCATGTTGAACGTGTTAAGTCGGCCCTCTACGTGCAGTCGAATGAAGCCCTGGCCCGGTTCGCCCAAGCTGTGAGTCGGGAAAACTCATTCTTTATACTAGAATATACTATAGTATACTATAGTAAACTATACCATTATACTACACTATACTATAATAAACAATACTGTTGAGGTGCTGGTCTCGGTGGGAGCCAGCTGCTTTTATGGCTCTTCCCCCGTCTTTGCCGGCTTGGGCCTTGGGAGCTTCGGCTGATGGGACTGTGGATCCGCCAGGCAGAAAGTTCTCACACTTTGCGGGGGTTTTCGGGGTCGAGACTGCTTGTGAATCTTCTAGCAGTTGTGAAAGTCATCGCGAACTTGGGGCCAGGGGCTAGTGGCTACCAGCTTTCTGAACTTCCAGTCGCCAGTTCCGAACCAAAGTGAGTATGGGATCAGCATGGACCAGCGAGAAACAGCCGTCAGCTTTCTGTTTCTGGTCGCCCACGTGGCAACTTGCGAGCTTCGAGGGCTCAAAGGACTTTGCCCAATCTGATGTCGGGACCGGGTGAAGAGCCGGGTTGTCCAATGGAGCAACAGAGCCTCTTGTCTCTGCTAGACGGCCTTCCACTTGCGCAGTGCAATCACTGCAAAATGCCACTTCCCGTCTCAGGCTACACATGCGGTGGTGATGCCTATGACCCGATGACAGAAGTGGAGCATGCCGTGGACAAAGCCGTTGCGAACATATTTGGCAGCGCACGCTTTTGCCAACAAAGCTTTTGCTTCTCATTCTAGCTTTTCTGCAGATAGACGCCTCGTTCAACACACGCTTCATTTCCCCGATCCCAAGTCATTCATGAGCTCTTTGGGGAATTTCCAGGGGCCCAAAGTCAACGCCAACTCTGTGCGCCCGAACTCAGGTATTTTCGGTGAAGAGCTTGGATTGCGTGTCGGCGGGTCACTGGCGAAGAACATGAGCGTGCGTAACTTGGACCTGGTTCGGGAAGGTTTGGGAGTTTCCGAAAATTAGGGGTACCTTCTTTTGGGGTCCTTATAATAAGGATCCTATTATTTGGGGTACTATATTAGGGTCCCCTATTTTCGGAAACCCCCGTTTGGGGCTGTGTTGCTTTTGGCTTTGGCAAAGAAGCTCTTCGGCTGCTTGGGCCACAGGGGCCTTCAAACCCTAAACCCTACCGGCTAGTTGTGAGAGTGTACACCCCACCGGCTCGATAACTGCTTTCGAGGAAGAGCGCTGGATGAGCTCCTGGCTCGTCAGGACGGTGGGAGATGGTTTACGCATCTTCAGTGCGTCTTGCCTCGCTGCATGTTAGCTGTTGAAGGGGGCCGGCGCCAAGCTTTGCTGCAAATCTCGCCACCCGGACTTGTTATCTTCTCTCAATGGGTGGCGCGGCATGCTTCGGCAGGAGAGCGTGTTTCGGGACCGGCAGAGCTGCCAGTGGATGGACCATCAGCTTCAACTGGCATCAGCGAAGGCGGGCAACATCTATTCCTGACGGCTCCTTATTAGAGGTATAATGTAATAATTTAATACACCGCACAACCCGCGATACTTATTACGGAATAAGAAGGCCCAAAAGCTGTTGAGCCTGTTACGGCTCCTACTATAGACTCTGTCGGTCTGGCAATTCCGCGGTGCATTGTCTCTACCAGCTAGCAGGGTGAGGCTGCCAGTGTGTTCACTCTGTTCTTGACGTCTGAGGCCGGCTGGCTCACTCGTCGAGAGTACCTGGAACAAATCAGCATCGATGAGAAGGCCATGAGAAGGCCCCCAACGGCACATAGCATGTGTCACCAGCACAGAGTCTTGGAGCAAGCCGTTGAAGTCTTTCAATGTCCGAGGTCTGCGGAAATGGAGCTGGAAGCCACGGAACTACGACTTGCCATGGCAACTTGGCAGCTTGCGTCGAATCGCATTCCGGAGCGAGAAGCCGCCAAGCTTCGAGTGGAGCAAACTGTGGCAGGCAGAAAAGGCTTGCCGCCAGCTGATGCAGCTCCGGGCCGAGTTCATCCCGTCGGAGGCGTCTCAGATCATCAGAACTCCAGGGCTTCTCATCCTTTGCTTTCGAGTCACCGTGTTTCAAGGTTGCGCCGGAAGCACCATCATCCCCATCGGCCATCCTGCTCGGCAACACGCACCTCCGCGTGCCCCAGGATGAAGCAAAGAAGGCGTCTGAGACCGAAGAGCCTTCAGATTCAGGACCCTTATTGCGGGAGCCCAAGCATCGTAGCCCCACGCGTCGCACGGTGCGGCTCTGCAGGAGAGCCGATCGTCAGCCCTGAAACTTGGCGAAAGCTTGGGGGCCGTCGCTTTTTGGGAGCTTTCTCGTACACAACCAAGGTGGCAGACATGTCGGCGGACCCCCTGCCGGAGGAGTCTTCTGGCGCACCCCGAAATCCGCAGGCTCGGCTGGTGTGGAGCCAGGATCCCTCTCCCGATGACGCCGGGCCTGAGAGGACAATTCCTGTTCTCTTTTCCCGACAACAGTCGACTTCCTGAGCTCCGAGCCACCAAGGACATGCTGCGCCAGAGAAGCTCAGAGTCAGAGCACCTCGCAGATGACGCCCAAGTGTCGGAGTCGGAGCATTCCACCGAATAAAGGCGGGGAAGCACATCCAGGCATCTACTGTGAGGCATGTTTATACTTGAGATTACTTGAGGTGCAAGCTTACACAGACCCCATTTCATTGCGGCGGAGTTCTTCCCCCGGCCACAGCTGTGAAAACACCTAAGCTAGGTGTCCTGAGCTCTTTCGGAGTACTCTCGTACTCGTATTTAGGGGCAAGAATCGGGTCAGTGAGGGTTTGCAGGAATCCGCGCCAAGTTGTCAACGGCGCAGCGTGCATGTACCACTCCATTGAACCGCCTCGAACACACAACAGCTTATCTACGTCTGCTTGTACGTCTTGTAATGGAGACACAGAAGTTTGTGCGGAACAGCATGGAGGTGCACGAACGCCATGGAGCCCACTGAGAATTCTGAAGATGGTGGCTTTGTAGTAGCTGGCACTTGTCAGCGAAGCTGTTCACGCGCAGCATCCCGAAGAACCCGAGTGGTCATTTTCGTCGAATGTCCTTACGGAAGCTCAAAAAAGAAGTGGTTACAGCCTTTCCTCTGTGGCAATGCCTTGAGACTTGGAGCTGCAAGTGCCGTCGTTGAAGTCACCGCATCATCTGGGTTCAGAAGAGACCCGCATGTTGCAGATCCAGTCATCTGAGCGATGGAAGCTCGAAGCTGGAAGGAATGCTTAACTATGTGTGGCCGGCCCCCGACTTTTGTTTGGGGTCCTGGCCAACCGGGCCCCTGCGTGATCAGATCCCGTGCTGCGACGAGCCCCAAACCGCACAGAAGTATCTTTATGCGCGTTTCCAGTTCTGTATGCTAGGTATAGTCGTTCCTGCTCTGCAGCGGGTCAATATCTCCCATCGCAGCTCGGGATCAGCCTTACAGACCCGACCAAAAGCGGAGAATAATCAGTAATTCGTACCTTCAGTCGTTGGTGAGCTTTGCAGAGAGAGAGAGAGAGAGAGAGCATGGAAGCCCAAGATCTGGAGGAGGAGGGTTCCAGTCCGGCCCATCTCACAGGCTCATTACGATCACTGCAGGCACAGCCCTCGCCAGCCAATGCCCAAGGATTACAACAGCGGGAGTAAAAAAAGGCTTTCGCCGCAGACTGCAAGCTGTTCAATATTTGTGGATCGCTCGGGAATGGTCCGGGAATGTCAGCAGATTACAGTAGGTCTTCGTGCCACTTCACGGACTTAAAAACCAGCCCCGTGCACAACCCCTGCTGATGGGCGGTTTTCGTTTCAGATTTGCTTGCTGGCTGCGGCCACTGCTGCTGTCGGTGCCCTTGCTGCCACTGAAGGCCGTACTGGGCGACTTCACATCGCCTCAGATGCTGGAGGGCATCAGCGATTGGGAAGGAGTGCAGACGTGGTCTGGGAGCCAAGCCTCAGGACCCATGCCGGTCACACTACGTCATGAGTGTCAAGTTCCGCGGCCAACTTTTGTTAAGCCCGGCAGCCGAACCTGGACCTAGCAGTATCAACACAGCAAAACGCTACGCTGTGCATGGCCGTATGTCGCACGCGGCTTAATCTGCGGTGCATCGGGGATATCTGATGGTCACAGGAGTAAATTTATAGTATAGGGTGCCACATGATGCCAGAATCAGCTAAGGTGGCCGGCGCCCTACTCGCCTTACTCCGAGAACATGCCTGGGCGCCAGGGTGTCAAGTAGAGGTGTTCAGGAGTTGTCCGAAATTCGACTGCCCGAGGATGCCCGACATGACATCGTCCTACCCGCTGCCTGCCCAGCCGTTTGCCGCCTGGTCCTTTGTCACATCCGGGCAGTTGCGAGGCTGCTTTGCCATGAGCGAGTCTGAGCAACCCATCTTCAGGCGGCAGACTGGATGACGATGTCTATGCCCAAGATGTCCTGATCATGTGCATTGATTGCATCCGTGCGTGAACAGCCTTCCAACATGATGCATTTTTCAGCCACCATCTCGCAACCCTGGCACTTCGACGCTTGGAGTGGAAGCCTCCTTTACCTGACCGGACACGCAGCAATCCTCCGCTGATGGTTCGTGGCTCTGTTTGTGCTCAGTTGGAGCGCAGCAAGAGCTCAAAAACTTGGTCTCTTCTTCGTGCTTGGTGCCTATGACGCTTTCTTCTCGCATGGGGGTCAGTTTTCCCTAACCCCCCAGGTACCTACTATATAGGGTATTGGAGCCCCTACGGCCCTATATAGTAGGTACCTGGGGGGTTAGGGTTTGATCCAGAACAGGCCCCCCCCCCTGTGTACAGCCGAGGCCGGACGCAGCTTCCTGTGCAGGCCTTGCTGAAGGCCGGGTTTCTCTTCGGGGACCAGCTGGCGTCCGGGCAGTTGGAGGATGCATCCCTAACCCCCCAGGTACCTACTATATAGGGTACTAGAGCCCCTAGGGCCCTATAAGGTTTCCTCCACGTGGGAGCCGGAAGGCCATCACTCGCCGCCCGGGTTGCACTAAGTGACCTGTGGCCCAAGATTGTCGGATATGGGACATTGCGAGGCTTGCGACGTACATAGCGGTTTCTGACCGTGCGAGTCAACTCTCACTCGAACCCAGAGCTGCAAGGACGAGACGGCAAGGGGTCCAGATAATTCGATGAGGATTGCTCGTAAGAGTATGAGGGACGGATCTGCTGCGCAGGCAAGTATGCCGTGCCGAAGCCGTTCAACTTGTGGCAAACTTCGACCGATGCTTTCGGTCAGCGGCTCAGCTCAGGAGTTTCTGGAATACAGCGGTTCGGAACTCTGTCTTGCTCCCGAGAGACTGTCTGCAAGAGGAGGGTGGCGGTTGCTTGTGCAAGAAAGAGTCATGAGATGCCTGCCTGCGGTCAAAGTGCGTGGAAAGTCTCCGAGAAGTCCAGTGCACAAACCCAGCAGAGACTAACCCTAAACCCTAAACCCTAAACCCTTCCCATGCATGAAGTGTCACGCCGACTTATGCACCTATGGATCCTCGCCTGGCTTGTCCGAGTTGTGAGAGTGTAAACCCTAAACCCTAAACCGAGTTACAGGCCAGCCTGGGACACAAGCTCTCCGCAAAGCCGGAGGACAGCGGGACGTATGAACCGTGGACCCATTGCCTGACGATGCAACATGTTGGATGGCACGCTGATGAGCCTTTGTTGTCTTGAGATCTAGGCGTTCCCGAACAGATTCAGCATCTGTCGTAGGACATGTTGTTTCTGTATCCATATTGCCCTCATCCCAGCCATGCCGAAACAGATCGATCGTCGATGTACCGTGCGGTCTTTCTGTCAGTGGCTGGTGCCAGTGTGATCGCAGGAGGGATTTTTCAAGAAGCCCAGCTCCAGGATGTGCCCAGTACTTTGCCGGGAGTCCGAGGGAATTCTGTCACCACTTGCATGCTGCACACATTTTTGAAGAGATGCTTTGCTCGGAGCAGCCCGTAGGTTTTGCCTATTCTGTGCATTTTGTAACTTTGCCTATTCTGTGCATTTTGTAACATGCACTTGCCCACAACCGAGCTTTGCTGCGCTGTCTATGCGCATGCGTTTTCCGCTGAATGCTTCGTTTTCCTGCGATTGCCCCTCGAGTCCTTGTGTTTTGACTCTTCGTCTTCATCTGCTTGGTCATGCATCGCTTTCTGACATCTTGCCGTCGCAGTGCTATGCACCTGTCGTAAGCTTATATGGGTGCCACATTGTGCTATGGCAGCATTCTTCCGCCTTATTGGACTTTTTTTCGCGCCGCATGACTTCATTAGGCCCGCTTATTTCCGTGTGCATCCTGCTATTCTGCTTCCTCTGCTTTTTCGGACTTAGCACCATTCTTAGGGTGATTGGAGCAGTCTCTTTCTAAGGATATACATTCTATTTAAGTTACCATAATAGGGATCCATAGGAAATAATAGGGTACTTCAGCCGACGACACGGTGGTTCCCGTCCGACGGCGGAGGCCCGACGGCTCTGGCCTGGCGCTCTTCGCGGAGGGCACCCTCCCGGCCCGGCTCCCCATAGCAGCCCTTGGGTTCAGGGTTTAGGGTTTAGGTTTAGGGTGGGTGGGGGTTTAGGGTTTTTTTCAACGGACATGACAGAGCAAGTAGCGCACGAGAAATTCGCCCATGCATCGAGGGGTTTAGGGTTTAGGGTTTTGGGTGGGCTGGGCTTTCAGGGAGCTCCAGCTTCGCCCCTATGTCGGGCAGTATTACGTGTTTCAACATGTTTCATTTGTGCATTTCTGTTGTTTCCTCTTTTTTGCGATCCGTGCTTCTCGGTACTCGAGCATCGACAGATGGGTGCTGAAGCGGAGGCTCGCGAGGAGGCCTCGCTGACTCGCGGGGGTCGCTGGCTTCTGGGCCTGCCGCGGAACGCAGAGGAGGGGCCAGCAGGGCCACAGAAGGGACACCGCTTTTGACATCTTTGTTCGCGGTGGGTCACGAGAGCTACAGCAGGATTTCGTGCCGTTGTTGAACGAGGCCGGGCCACGCTCACCTAGGCATGCTGTGGGCGGGCAGTAGGTGTTATTGCCAACGTACGTCTTGCCTTCCAGGTGTGGTTTGTTGGGATCTCAGTCACCTCTACGATTCGCCCACAGAAGCAGTCCGACATAGCATGGCAGCATCGTCATAGTATGTTCGTTGTCGGGCTTGGAAGCGTGCAGCACGCTTGGTCTATGGCGCGTGCCCAGGCCTTGACAAGTGGTCTCCTACGAAGCCATTTCGAGGGTCATGCCGACGTGTGCGGCGTCACTCTCAGAAGCTGTCACATGCTGCATGCCCAAGTCGCATGACAAGCAATTCAGCTGACACAGAGATCAGTGGCTGTCGTTGAGGTGTTGCAGTCTCGTTGCGGGGAGCTGAGTTGCTGCATCCTGATCCCGCAATGCATGGCTCAGGGCAATCTCACGTGAAATGAAACCAGAGGATCGATGCCACAATAGACTCAATAGATCAGGTAAGAGGTCAGCTCTCAAGCATGTTCGAAGCGTTCCGGTTGTCCGAGCCGTGCTGAGGACGGCGGCAGATGCCAAAGTGGCTCTGTGGTTGAAGCATGCGGAGGCTGCCAGCTAAACCTGCTAGCCCTTTCATGCTCTTCCAAAACTGCAACGAACCAAAACACAGCCCATGAATTTGTGCTGGCATGATGTCGCAAAAAGTGTGCCATGTGGGCCAGTGACAAAACATGCGGATCTTTCAAGTTCCCGGTCCTCTTCGGGTTTGCGATGCCTGACAACGCCTGACAGCGACAAGGAGGAGCTTCACGTCCTGGCTGTCGGACAAGTTTTGCTGGACATGCTTCTAGCAGTCGAAGAGAAGGCCTCGTCGATTTTGAGTGCGGCTTCAAGCGACAGTGACAGTGTCTACCACGGAATGCCAGGTCTCCGGGACTGGCGCCGCAGACATCCGCATCAAGTTCGAAGACTTCCAGCGTGGTAGGGTCACGTCGGCTGCTCAGCCTTTTCCAGGTTCTTCATCCAGGTGGGGTGCCATGCTGCCCAACATGGTTTCTCCGAGTTGAATACTCCATATCTTAATGTTCCAGAGACTGAGGCAGAAACTGCGCGGAGCTTGATGCCTTGCCAGTGAGGCTTGTGCTGTCTAGCTTCTGATGCAACACGAAGGACTCACGAGCATAACCTTAGCAGCATGGTGCCAAGGCCACTGCATTCTTATCCCAGTCAACTCACACTTAGCACCCGATACGGAAAGTTCACGACTATCTGCGCTCAGAAAGACTGCCGCGACTCGATGCGAGAACAGGGGTTGGAGCTGTTCTGACTTTCAGGATTTGACGGCGGAAGGGCGATTATGCCTCAGTTGACGTTGGCTCACTTTCCTTCTCTTGTAGGCCGAGAGCCGTGCAACAAGATGATAGCGATCCGACAGCAGGAGCAAGCAAACCAACTAGGTCCAGGGCAAAGGCCGGGACAAAAAAGCGGAAGCATGGATCGTTTTCGGGCAGTCAGAACATGTTAGAACAAAGGCAGAGAGACAAGGGACATCAGTTTGCCACTTCAAAAATGTTCTGTTTCGTGCAAGCGTTCAAGCCCCATTTTCGGACAGACCCCCAACCGACAGCTTGCAGATACCATTTGCCTGATCGGAACCCCAGAAGGAGAGGAAATCGCCAAAGCCCCGAAGTGGGCCCTGTGAACTAGCTGCTCCTCATGGCGAGCTGACTCTGACTGGGTATCTTCGGCCGCCCAGGCGGCGGGCGTTTCTTGCTTTGGTGGGCCCACATGTCGAGGCCCAGGCCTCCAAGCTTTGGTAGAGCGAAGTCAGTGATGGGTTAATATAGGGCCTTAATAATTACCTAAACTATTTTGGGGGGTCCTTATCATAATTATAGTATGAAGGGGGCTTTTCCAACCCGGCTGCCCTCCTGGGGTCGTCTGCGGGGGGCCCCAAAACCCGCTGTACCGTGGGGAATGGCCGCAAAACACGTGCGTTGCCGGGTGAGCCTCCAAACGAGGTCCCTCGCGGCCCAATGGAAAAACGAGGGTCCCATGCAGCAGGGTCGGCGGCACTGGCGGTCGTGCCTTCTGCTAACGCAAAGCTTGCAAGGCTACCGCTCGCTTGAGGCTCGGGTCCGCAGGCATGCGCTCGGTCTGCCGCCAGTGCCGCCGACCCTGAATGAGGGCGGGGTTTGTGCACGCATTGGAGGCCTCTCTAAGGACCTGGCAACCCAAGCCAAGGGTGGGGCAGTTGAGGCGAGGCGTGGACCTGAAAACCCGAGCCAACCTTGAAGCCTGTAAAAGCTTCTTCACAGGAAAAAGGCACGAGGAGAGCGTCAGAAAACAACCAAAAAAACCCTTCGGGATTTCACAGGCGCCGCCCCAACGGGGGGTCGGCGGATTCAGGCCCCTACGTATAGGTTTAGGCTAAGTTTAGGACTCGAAACTCGGGCCTGGGCTCGGCTGCGGAGGCCATGGGCAAGTCCAAGGGCAAACTCGATGCGCTGCTGTTGGAGGCTGCTGGCGTGGCTCCGGACCCAGTTTCTGAGTGAGAAGGGGCTTGCCACTGGAAGGAGATGTCGAGAGGAAGCGTGCGCGAGAGTCGATGCCACAGGCTATGATACTGGTAGGGGCTGATTTGATTCGCTCACTGAGGAACTGGACCCAAAGAAGGTTCTTAAAATGGAGTGGCGGCCTCGGCTTCAGGATTGAATTCTCGATAGTCGTAGCCGTAGCTCCATAATACTGGCCACTAGCAGAGTATTTCACAGGGACCACGAGCGGTGTATGGCGGCACATGGATGTGACTGGACAGGTTAGTGAATGAACACATTGAACGCTTTGCTTCTTGGGGGGAGTGCCGGAGTGTCAGGAGTCTTGTTCCTTGTGCCATTGTGGGTCAGCGAATATCACTTCCCTGCTTGTGCGGCATTATGCCTGCCTCGGTTTCTTAATTCTGATTGACCAGAGAACCGTCGGCCAAGACATGGCCTTAGCTGCAATCATGGCGGTTGCTTCGCTCAGGCCGGAAGAGCGAGCATCCTGGCTTTCTACAGCTCAGAGCCAAGACCAGCACAGTGACAGCTTTTGCCGTGCTGTGGAAGTCTAAGGCCTGTCGCGTCGCCTCTGAAGGTGCTGTGAAGGCGGGGGGGGCGGGGGGTTGGGCGAGTCCGCGAAGGCTGAGGACGGAGGCGCAGGCAGCAAGTCCGGTGCAGCTTCCGATGGCATGCGGTGGCAGCCAGCTTTGCATCTTCCTTCTGGCTTAGGTCAGCCAGCGAACATCTCAGTTGCTTTAGACCTCTTGGGTGCCTGCTGGCACAGCTGGTGCACGCATGTACAGGCACCGATTCTACTGTGCAGACAGGTTGCCTACATACACCACATGGCAGTTGGCCAGTTCGCTGCAGCCCAGGCTGTACAATGTGCTTGCCAGCGAGAAATTTGCTGATGGGCTGAACGAGAAGGCCAGGACCTGTGTCTGTTGTTTTGCATTTCGGAACCTTAAGAAATTCTTGAGTCCTCGCAGTCCCAAAGCACTTCTCAAGCGACCAGGTTGGCAAGCGAATGCACCGAACCATGCTGAAGTACTTGTCCGGCTCTCGGTGCTCAGCCATTTGCAGGGTTCCGTCCCCCCCTCTCGACTTTTCGGGAAGCCAAGGCATATCTTCTCGGACAAGCAGCAGCGGTATCTCAAGCAGTGTTGGGCTCGGCTCCCGCTTTGCAGGGTCCAGGCTGCGGTCTGGCTTTCGATGGACTTTGAAGCAGCTAAAGGGGACTCAGACCCGAGGCTCCCTCAGCCCCCCATATGGAATTCCAGAGAGGTGTGGGTTGGCCCGGGATTTCGGCCTCAATGACAAGGAGGCCCCCAAGGACTCCCCGTCAGAGCCTAGTGGATTTGAACGGAGGTGATATTGAATCAATCAGCTCCGTGTGCACAGGAGGTGGCGGATGTGAAGCCGGCGAGGCGAAAGGTGGGGAGGAATCAGTGTACCTTAAGTCACATAGAGCTTTTGCCGCCTCTTGTCTGGTGGCTGAAGCAGTTGCCCTCTGCCCTCTTGACCTTGCCAGAGCCAGAGCGACGAGGATGCTGCTGTCCGCATGGAGGAGAGCTCTAAGATGGTTCCTAAGATGCTTTAAAACAGGTCCGGATTCTAGAGGATTGTAGAGGGGTGCCGCGAGGGCAAGATGGGGATATTATTGAGTCTGGCTCCAGGAGATGATGGCGAGATGCCGCAACTTCGTGCGCGAGAAGGACTGGCTGAAAGGTGGATGAAAGGCCGTGCAGGGCACGTCTTCGGGCTTCCAGCCAGGCGCAGACCTACGAAGAGCGAATGCGTGAGGCCGAGGAGCAGGAGAGAGAGGCCTCGGCCTCGTGGCTTTCATAAAGTGAGGATCTCAGGTTACAATAGGTCTTCAGCTCTTGGTGAGTCAGACAACTCCCCGGTACTAACCCCCCCACACTCATCAACACATATATCTGCAAGGTCCTTCAGTGAGATCCGATGCGCACGCAGGCCCGCCGGCAAGAGCTGCTGCGCCGTCAGCGCGAGGAGCGCGAGCGCTTGGCGCGTGAGCTCGGAGTCCCAGACGCTTTCCGGTTTCGCGAGGTGTTTTTTCACGTTGTTCTGTTCGGGGCTCGCGCGAAGGATGAGCGATTGTACTAATCAGCACTGTTTACCCGATGATGCTCTCATAGGCCAGCTTTAGGTACGACCTGCCCATGAGGCACCCCAAACATCAAAGACTACTGCAAACATAACCCACAAAGGGTCCTCAGCAACTATTGTACAACCCCAAATCTTGGACTTTTGCTCGCCAGAATTTCTGGCAACCATCGGCCCTGGAGATCAAGGGTTGAAACGTTTCAGGAGCTGGCAATTGAGACAATGACGAACAGAAGTCGTGAGTTTGTGTAGTTTCATTTCAAAAGGTCTATGCTACGGGCCGAACACAAACTGCGCTAGATTCAATGCAGAAGCCCAGCGTTTGACAATCCCTACAGAAAAAATCGTTCCATGTTACGTAGTGTTTTGGTGCTGGCCGAGTCCAAACCCGACAGAGGTGGGCAGAGATTGCGGACTGGCACCGCCAACTCGAAGGCAGTGCCGTGAGCCTTTTTCTGCAAGGGCCCCCATTGTCAAATGGCTATGATGGCTGAGTTTCTGTATCTGTGCCATAACCGACACCAAAACACCAAAACCTAAACCCTAAACCCCGAAACCCTAAACCCTATTGTGCTGATTAAGGCCTGTGCATTATGCCAGGGTGGGAGCGCTCGCAGCTGGCTATCGAGGAGAGTTGGCGTCTCCGACTTGAGCTTGACCCAGTCCGTCGGCAGTCTAAAAGAACGGTAGAGTGGCGAGAGTTGTGCATCAGAGCACGCTACAGCCCATAGGCCTCCTTTCACTGCTAAGTAGCTGCCTCTGCTTGTTGCAGGACCTGCGAGAGCAGGAACGAGCAAGAGAAGCCCAAGAGGTTGCAGCTCTGGGATCTTTGAGTAGGAGGATTATGTCACAGTGCATCTGTGGCCTCGCTGCATGGCAGTTCTTGTGGGTTGCTCCCCTCTATATGATCATTTGATTGAGTGGCTCCGCGAGGTTCGCGAAGCCCTGGAGGGAAACAAGTCCGGGCCCTATTGACGCGATTCTTCGCTTCGTGCTGACATGGACGACCCCACGTATGACCTAGACGGGATCCCCGGATCTAAAATTTTTGGGAAACTGAAGCTTATATACTTCGTTTTCGACACCTTTCCGACCACGGGAAGGCGATTTTGAGATTTGGGTCACCTTCTCTTTGTTCCTCTTGCTGGCGCTTTGCGTCTGTTGAAGTCACGAGGAGCCGCTCTCGCTCCAAGCGCAAGCGGCCCCTGGAAGAGGCACCCCTGCAGCCAGCAGGGACAGTGAGAAGGGAATCCTTTCCGGAGACTTCTGCGACTGCAACATGCAACGGTAACTTGAATCGGTGTTTTGAGCATGGCTACGGGGCCTCGCAGATGAAGGCAGCACTGTGTTTCAAGTGCCGAGTTTACCCTAAACAATTCGTTGGGCCGGCTTGGTTTGGTATATTTGTTGGCCCAGAGCGTTCATGGAGCTTCTGGGTCCGGGTGCGGCTTCAGGACCAATGGCCGGAAGAGGAGTGGCGAACTCAGCACAGGTACAAAGTACAATGAGCCAGAAAGGATTCCCGCCCCACACACATGCACGTTTGTGCGACGCAATACCGGCGCAGGTCTAAGCAAGAGACGAGCACCTTGCCTGCTACAACGTTGTAAGCAGTGTTGATCCAGGCAAATTCTGGAGGAGGAGCTCCGACGTGCTCAACACGGGCACGACGTTCGGACTCCCAGTAGCCGCGCATGTTTCAGCCACTGTGGCTTTCGTGATGTAGACTCTACGATCCCCAGCACCTAAAGGCCTAAAGGTCTCGAGTGGGGGCTCACAGAGCTGGCCATTGGTGATTTTCAAACCATCCGAAGAGGCCATCGTGCAGATGCCAGTCCGAGTGTGCCTTGAGTGTGTCTGCTGCCGACCATGGCGAGACCCTGTCGAGAGGTCAAGCACAGCCTGGTAGCTTGCATAGTACTTGGAGGATCATGGGACTTAGTAAGTAAGGTTATAGCTAACTTAATTGGGGTTATAATTACTTATAGGTATAGCCACCTTATTTACAACCCTAGCTACTAAGTCCCATGATCCTCCAAGTATCCTCAAAACACTCTGGACTCTCTGGAGTACGGGAAATGCAGCTGTCTCAGCACTCCTCCGATCTGTCGGCTCAGAGTTGAACAGATGCTTTGCGGCAATGGGAGACTTTCGAAGAAGTCGTTTGAGCGGTGCTCCGATCGTCGCTTGAATGGCACTATGAGCAAGCTTGACTGCCTCCCGGAACTCGTGCTTCATAGTTCTTCCTTCGATGTTGAAGACTTGATGTTGACCTTGAAGGGATCGTTATGTTTGTAAAGCCTGAGGATTTGGACTTTGTCTTGACTCGGTTTTCAAAACATAGACCCGGCATTTTTGGATGTATGTACATGCGAACAAGCACTTGTGTCACAGCTCAGCTGTGACTAGTCCGAGAAGACCAAGGTGCTTCTTTGAGTTTGAACAGGAGTGCGTTTAGGGGACGCTGTTTGTGGAATTGCTGCCAGCTAGCTGCCTGCCGCTGTATCTTCACATTGAAATTCGAGTGGCAACTGTTGAACACGCGGGCAAGCCATCAAAAGAGGTTGGCCGTGTTGTGGAATGGAAGAAGACACACGGCTGGATTGAGCCGGACTGCCCCATCGATCATCCTGAGATCGTCAAGCACCAAGGCGGGTCAGTTTAGGGCGCAGCAATGACAGGGCCCATGATCAGAGACTGCGCTGGTGCATTCGTCACAGGTCACATCTTCGTCCATGGAGAGGACGCCAGATGGGGGACGTAGATTTCCTTTCGCAGTAGAAAGTTTTCTTGGTCGGAGTCCGCTCTCCTGGGAAAGGACCTGGTGCCCAAGTGGAGGAACCTTGTGGCCGGTGCTATGGTGGAGTTCTTCTTGTATTATGATGGTACGGAGACCTAGTTCAATCTCACTCCTAAGTCCATCTCACTATGTAGTTTTTTTCAGCGACGGAAGGGCGTCCAGCTCAGGCCAAGGCCTCGGAGCCGAAGAATGCACAGCACGGAAGGTGTTGCGCGTCACATTGTCTTGGAAGCAAGCACAGGCTGGGCAGCCGGACGTCATTTAGAAGGTAACTACAGCTTCAGCATGTCATTGGGAAGGGAGCTGAATTTGAGGCGATGTTTGGCGAGACTGGCGAGAGACTAGCTGACTTCGAGCAGAAGTCGCAAGCAACGTGACTTCTTAAAGCATCATGGGTGTGGCTACTCACTTAAGTTGATCTGGCCGAATTTCTTTCAGGCTGGCATCTGCTGCTTCCCAAGCTTAGTCGTCGTTGTCGCAGCAGCAGCAGC